CTAGAATGAACGCTGCAATCCAGTTCAAAGGAAATTTGACATACACTTAGGTTACATGATCACTACCTCTGCTGATTAGTTTTTTATGCACTTCTATCTGCTTATAAATGTATTTTTTTGTATTTTTCTCAATAGTATTTTTTTATTTCTTTTGATAGCTTGGCATCCATTTGGTTCAGCTCAAGTGAAATTTTCGGCATATCCCTGGTCAGATTTTAATGACATTGACAACACAAGTACTCTGGCTTTTTGCACATTCGTCGTATTTTATTTTTGCAGAATCCCGTGAATATTAGTTTGACACCTTGTAGAGTGGAAACAGACTGTTGAATTAGTTCATCCTAGACTTTGGTGGAACATGTTGAAAATAGTACAGTGTGAACTGCAATTTCTTTCTGGCTGGTATAAATTTATTAAGTAATATTTTTTCGTGCTAAAAAGACCCAAATATCTTTTTTAATTGAATCTAACAGCCAATGGGAGCACGTAAGCTACAACCTCTGCTTACTTTGGACTAAATGTTCTTTTTTTTTTCTTTCTTTTTTTTTCAGGTGGAGAGCCAGAATCTTTTTCTCAGAAAGCAAAGCCACTGGAACTGCATGTATTACAAAAACATACCGGTACTATTCACTGCGTATCTGACAATTGTATAACGTTTTGCAGGTCCTTTTTTTCTACTTTGAGAAGTTCTGTCAACCAAAGCATAAATATATGTGTTTCTCTGTACATAAAATTTCACACGATTTGTTAATATTAATGTATGATAATAAAAACGTGATAATATTTGTCGCATACGACTTGTTTACCACTTCCGTGTGACTAAGAATGTTCTAGAACCGTACTGTGTCTGGGTGGAATTTTTAGAAACTGGTTGAATAGGTAACGGAACATTCTAGAAATTTGTAGTAAGTTCCAGACTCATTATGTATGCTGATGTAATGGTCTATTTATAGACAGTGTGGGTATATATAGGGGAGTTGTTCAGCGCTGAGTTCAGATCGGAGATCTCGTTGAGTTGTATTGGAGTTCGTGTATCTAGTTATTGGAGTAGTGGAGTTGTACCGAGTTATTGTACTTGATGTTTGCAGAGTATAATACTACCAGTACCAGTTGAAACCTCATTTGTTGGCTCCGTGTTCGTATTTTATCATCGCCGCCAGGGACGTCTTTTTGTTACTGTTGCCATTTTGGTATTTGAACCATCACACCTGTACTATACCAATTACGGTAATATTACGTTGCGTGTGACAATATTTTTCTGGATTTTTGCACTTTATTTGTATCATTGTCGTATGAGAATTAGTCTTGTCCTTATTAGAGATATTGAAACTAATCCAGGGCCACAAACTAGTTTATCCAAACAGACACAACACTGACTCTACATATTTGCAGATCTGATTTGTATACTTCCTTCTCATTTTGCCTGTTGTACTTGTTTGGTACTATCTGGTTTCCTTGCTGAGAATAATGCTGACCTGGATGGAGAGTGCAATAAACTTGAAAATGCCATAGAAATCATGTTTGCCAATTTATGTCCATGCAACTTTAGAATGACAACTAGTGAAGGCTATGTCATTCATGACTTGTTTTACTGTATTTTAATTATTTTACTGTTATTTCAAATGTGGAGGGTTTCTTTAAAAATACTAATATATTGTTATCAATCAACAGTATCAGAAAAGTTTCAGGCAGTTCTAAAAATGCCATCTGTCAACATATCAATTGCTTTATAGAAAACATTCCAGATGGAATTAGCCAATGTCGAAGCACACAATTTATACATAGTGACTTGTGGTGTGACGGTTATGGTGATTGTAATGATGGGAGCGACGAGAGATATTGTAACCGTAAGTTTTGGGGGAATAATTACGTCACAATGCATGTTTTGTATATACAATTCAGACTGTCGATCTACTGTGAATGTATGTACGCATGTAGTCAGTGTATGCGAGCGACATGAAATCACTCTCATACGTATAATATTGGGGTAATTGTTTTGTCAATGTTGTCAATAGTGGAATGAAAATAATACTGTATCAATTAGACGTTCATGCATGAATTAATTATTCAATAATATTTTTGTTTTGATTTCATTCTATTTTATTTTCTGTCATGATTTGTCCTTTCCTTATTCCAGCTTTCCTGCATAAATTAAAACCATGAACTAATAGATCATAAATAGAATAGACTGTTTAATGCGAACGTAAAAACAGAACAAAATAAAGGGACATAATGGCGTCAATACATCACGCGGGATTCGACAAGCGCGAAACTTTTTTGTGAAATTTCAACGCTATATTCTAACTTGCTATAGCTATTTGATAATGGTCAATATAGATCAAGTAGGGATAACGCAGTGGCATATTCCAGGGAGATGGGAATTGATCAATGAACCCCGAAATAGAGAAATTGAAGTTCAACATTAAATCATTCAATTATTGTAGAAAACGTTCGATTCGCGTCTTTCACGCATTACGCGAGATATCGCAGTAAAGGGAAAATTGCCTATCAATTGTTGCCCTTGGCAAATTACGATGCCATAATAAAAACACAGCATGTATGAAGATTGTATTACTTTCTCAGACACGTGTCCTGATGATAAATTCCAGTGCAAAGGAGGATGGTGTGTTGACATAGATAATCTTTGTAACGGTTGGAATGACTGCGGAGATAAGTCCGACGAAGAGAACTGCACAGAATGTAAGTGCAGCTCATTGTTTACTCTATGTTAGTGACACACCCGACAACTCGCGGGTCTCTGGCGCGCAACTTATGCTTTCTGTTAAGGTCCGCAATGTTCGGGATAGCACGAAGGTGGTTCTCCGCAGTTGTCGCTCGCGTCACGATTCTGTTCACACAAAATAGGAAAGCGCGCGCGCAGCGAGACGACATTACGTTTGAGAATGCAAGTAATTGTCATTTCATGTTAATATCATTATATTGTCAGTTGAAATGTTTATTCTATCAATTTTATCAGTGTGTCCTGCCCAATACCAATGCGCATCTGGTGTATTTTCGGGTGGTAACACGCCTGCGAAATGTATACCACTTTATGAGAAATGCGACAAATTTGTTGACTGTAGTGGTGGCGATGATGAAGAGAACTGTGATTATGGTAGGTAATATTCAAGCAGTATGCCATGAAACTACGAGCACATGAAGTAGACTGTGTTGTGTTGAGTGGGGCGAGGTTATTGTCGTCATAGCCATAGCAGTAAATTTTTCGAGTATTGGTTAGAAATGACAATAACACCGTAGTAACATTCTAGTGCCGAACGCACAGGCGCATACTTTCAGGTCTAACCGTGTTTTTATCTTTTGATCGTTGTCGTTTCTGTTCAAATCGGTAAGTTTCTTTGATGTGTCATTTAATATTCAGTAGGATGCTGATATTTTAATAGAGCATGAATTTGAATTATATCTCTTCTTTTTTTATAACTATAGAAACATGAAAAATAAACATAGAAATAACTTGCATATGTTTGTCGCATTTGTGAAAAGTATTTCACTAAGAAAAAATTAACTACGACCCAAATACTACTACTTACTGTGTACATCTCGCACTATCTCGCACTAAGTCCCAAAACAAACGTGGCTCACATCTGATCAAAACAATGCTCGTCTATTGTTTAGTAGTCTGATGTTAGAAGTTTAATGTGCCCTGGAACTAACAATTTACTATTTGAGATACAGCGAGCTGCAGCATAAGATCTCTTTCATAGTTTATTTCTTTGAGAATTTGGTATATTTTATACATCGTAATAAACCTATTTCTGAATAAATGTTGGTTATCGAGCAGCACCGTGCCCACGACTACATCGAACCGCAAATTTGTTGACACCTAGATGTTCGCTCGACGCAACCATTGTAGACAGCAGTGCGATCCGCTCCACTATGATTGCCCTTAAAATCACTTGTGTGTGTATTTTTTTGTGTCTTCACGTATTAGTTCTTGTGTGATTTTTTGGCTGAGCGGATTTCGCTCAAACTTGGCAGACCTCCACTGTAGTTAGGTGATAAAATCTGAAAAACATTCCTAAAAAAAAAATCATGTAAAACATTAAAATGTATTAATGTTCTAGACGCATTTCATCATAGCGACGTATTT